CATATTTTTGTCTACTAAAACCTTCTAAGTTATATTTGTGCCATTCTTTCAAACATTATTGTGTTCTTGTGTTCCTTGGGGAATAAGCCAAAGACAAATGTGAAGATTGTTTTTCATATGTAAGGATATAATTTTGTTTTATCAAATGTGTACTTTTGATTAAGCCGATTCTTGTTTCTATAGCATGACATATTTCTTGTTTTTTATCTAGGGCAATGCAAGCACATCAAAAAACAAAAAAAGGAGGAATTCTGAACCAAGATGGATTATGCCGATTGTATGCATATTTTTTCATACTTATCATCAATGTTATAAGTTTTTATAATTTTATGCACTTGGGTTGATTCTGAATCATTTTAAGAAGCCAATTATAACCATCGGTCATGTGTAGATTATGAATCCTATTAAGAATCAGATTTTGACTATGGAGATAGTTATTTCATTTTATATATGGTTGTTAATGGCAGATTTTGAGCTGCAAAATATAATGAGCATGGAGATAGTTATTTCATTAAGAATCGGATTTTGAATATGGAGATAGTTATTTCATTTTATATACTGTTGTTAATGGTAGATTTTGAGCTGCAAAATATAATGAGCAATGAATTGAGTAATGTAAACACAGAGAGTAACAGTAGATTAGTATTGAATACATTTTAATATATATCATTTCTATTTGCAGGTTCAATTACCTATTCTGGATATTTTTTTTTGAATGGTTTGTTTATAGGTTACATGTAAATAGCTTTTGGCAGCGGTTTTCAAGTGTTTTGTTTAGTCTTCTTTGAGTCTTGAAACCGGCTAGTTAGTTTAGGGTATTCTTTTCCTGCAATCAGTTGTACCGGTGTGTATTAATTGGGTCATACTCGTTAAATACATTGAATAGATTATACCGGTTGCGTAGTAAATACCAATTTTGTATATTGTTATTTATATTGACTAGATTTGGGAAAATTGTGTGATTACATTAAATTGTGTGACTTTGTTTTTATGCTACAATATAGTATTTACATATACATCTATTTGCAGTGTAGAATGTAAAGGGGAAGCTAAGAGTTTGTGTATTATGCTATGAGGCATATGGAAACTATAATATATATCGTTGTTGTTGATTCATGGATCGCATTGATGAATTTTTTGATTTGTGCTTCATTAAATTTATACTCATTACTCGTATATTATATTTTTTACGACAAAGTTTTACTTCTATTTTCATATTCATATTTTATTGAACGTGTTTCTAATTTTATTTTAGATTTGCAGACATTCATTGTTCAAGATCCATTAAGTCCACGAGACATTACCGAGACAAGAGAACGTTGGGCGTCATTTGTTTGTGATACCACAAGCAGTTGCTATTAACAAATATGGTTCTGTTTTGATCTCTAGAATGATCAATAGTGTTGGTTTCATGTGAAACTTTGTACTTTTAACTTGCAAGAACTTATGAAATTTTGTAGTTTTTGCTTTGATGAACTTGTGAAACTTTGTAGTTTTTGCTTGGATTGATTGGTACTAGTATTGTCATCCTCAAAGATATTATTGCTTCAGGAGAAGCATCGCATGGGAAGCAAAAAAATTATAGCAATTAAAGACTTTTATTATATTGAGTTAGCATCTCTACAATTGCATGTTATCTCACACGGCCTCCATACACCATTCATCATCATCATAACTATCGTTAGTGATGATAAAATAAACTGTATAGAGTTTAAGATCAACGCAGTGTGGGATATCTTTCCAGAAACCCCAAACAGCAACGCATTACCAAACATCCCTTCAGGCCAAAATAGCTGCAAATATATAACCACACATTCAATAGAATGAAATTTCCCTAATTGGACAATATAAAATACGATGATCAGATCAACTTAATATGTTGAAATTTAAAAAGTGGCTGATAAAATTGGTAAGTTGAAAATATGGTAAGTTGATATGTTGTCTAGATTTGACCTAGTCTGTTTAAGTTTAGTTTGGGACTGAAAATAGTCCAAGTAAGAACAGAAGCACTAGGATTAAGGGAAATTGTCCTAAATGGGAGTAAACGATGTTTGAAATTCCAAAATAGGACTACTATGTTTTTCTTCCCGAAATAGTAGTTGTTACTGACATGTATGAAAAATACTGTCATGATTGAAAAATATTGTCATTAATTATAATAAATACTGTCATGTCAAATGTAGTGTACTCCAATTATTGACAGCCACGTGTACAGGATGACTTAAAATACTGTCATGTTAGTCCTATTTCGGGAATAAAAACATAGTAGTCCTATTTTGGAAAAAAAGGTAACAAGTGAAATTCTAAACAAATAAAAAATGTTTTATTTCGGGAATAAAAACATAGTAGTCCTATTTTGGAATTCTAAACTCCATTTACTCCTTGATGGAGTATATGGCCCACATACTTCCTCCCCTACAATCAGGCCCAACAGGCCCAAACAGGCCAAGCCCAGCAAAATGGAGCTCTAAGCAGCCCACAATACGCAAAGGGGTGCCTTCGGCCCCATGGCCGAAGGCTACCAGTGACGGAATCGAGCTCAGAAATATCACAGGAGAACAAGGCTTGAAAACCAAGCCTTCGGCAACTGCAGCCCTCGGCAGGTAGGAGCCCTCGGTTAGAAGAGGCATCACAGGAGAACAAGGCTTGAAAACCAAGCCTTCGGCCCAACACCCTTCAGCCGAAGGCATCCACCTCGACAGAATATCCTCTTCACATGCGCCTGGATCACCGTACCAAGTACAAACGTCACATCCAACCACCGCATTTAATGCGGCCACATGCGAGTGTCAGTGCCACCCCGGTCGAGGTGACCCCTCGACCACCAGAAAACTGACACGTGTCCTTATCTAGCATTTATTACTACTATAAATAGCACCCCTTTCCCCCATTGTAAACCACGCTTAATACATATCGAATATATACTCTCTCTCTTACTTATTTGCTCTGACTTCTCTCTAGTTATTCTCCGCAATAACCCCTCGGATAAGCTACCCCGGGTACACTATCCATCACTTCTATTTTGGGAAATCTTCCTAAGATTAATAACGTAAAAAGTGAAATTAAATAACCTGAATAATCGTAAGCAAGAGTAGCACAAGGATAATGGAACATAAGAATTGTTTTAAAAAGGTAACATCAGCATGTTTTGTCCATGCGGCCCAAAATGCATACACAGTAAGAAGAATCGTCACCGCTGCAGTTAGGATAACGAATTCCAACTCCACAATATATGTTTCCCACAAGGCCACAAGTGAGCAACTTAATGTTAGTTATTTAGTTATGCAAGAAATTGTTAAATAAGTTATATACTATTATGAAAAAAATCAATTAAAACCCTAATTCAATTATCATCAGATTACTACACACTCATGTACCTTATAAAAGAAATGTTGCGTGATTCTAATGTTGTCCCTATACTGAATTATATAATACACCCATGCATTTTCAACCCAAATAAACCTAAGCATAAACATAGACCAACTGAATAACAAAACACCCTAAAAAACAAATTCCCCTTCACCTCTGCTTGTAGGTGCACTCTAATAGAAGCAATGTCTCGTTCAATCAAATACATGTCATCATCACCCATGGAATGATTCCTCCTCTGCCGTTCATCATCTTGTTTAGTCCAATCAAGCAAGCAACTATTAATGTCATTCTTTGAATCCACATCCTTCCAAGCAAAGAACCCACATCCTTTTCCCTCCTACAAAATAACACCAACAAAACTAGGTTGTAATATACCCAAAAAATTTTGAAATTAATAGTACATCAATTTTGACATACCTTCCATTTTTTACATCCGTAGAACAATCGTCCACTTTGACGACCTATGCAAACGGGTGATTTCAGTCCACAGTGGCAATACATACTCGGCTCATAGTTAAGAGTGGATAGCTTGGTTCTTCTTATACTTGATGTCGAAGAAGATGACATTCTTCGTGGCTTCTAAAAGAGACGACCTGTGCGAAGAGCTTTGGGCGTGTGACCTGTGTGAAGAGCTCTGGGCGTGAGAGAAACGACCTACGTACAATAACTTTCAAATAGGGTTAAGATTCAGTTTTGAGGATTTAAAAATATAATACCACATCATCCGTCAGTCACATTAAAATTTACCACGTCAATTTTTTTATATGAAGTTTACCGGGTACCGGTTGATTACAGGGTAAAAGGAGGATCTGGTCGTTTTAAAAAAGGTTAAGGGTTTAATTGAGGGAAGTTTCGGTTCAGAGGCTTAATTGTTTTTTTTTTTAATAGTTGGGGGGCTTATTGTTAGTTTTTCCTTTATTTTTTGTCTAATCTAATGCATAATAGTAATACTTTTTTAGAGAATATAATAGTACTACTTTAAAAAAATTAAAATAAAAAAAGATTTCTCTAATTCGATGTATCAAACAAATAAAATCACAGTTAGAAAATATATTTTTATTACACCTTGAAATTAATTAAATATATATATATATATTTAAGGAAGACCCAATTTTTTACTAAAGAAATTTCGAGACTATGACAATATCACAATTTAATTACATAACAAATTTGAACTAAAAAGCTAAAACATATTCCCAATTTCAGTACTTTAAAAATAACGCGTAGTACTTAATACTCCATGTGTCCCAAAATAATTTGCAAAGTCAACTTTTTTTGTCAATACAGACATACAATTTCACTTTTCTTTTACATAATATAGTTTCACCTTTATCAACTTATTTAACATATCAAAATTTTATTTTATTTTGTTTTATCAATGTAATTTCAAAATATGTAAATTATAAGCATTAAAATTGATTCAAATATTAGTACGGATGATTTAATTTTATCTTCAATCAATCTTAAAGTTCGAAAATTGAAACTTAATTCAGGACGGATGAAGTGTAAATTTGAATTCACGATTTCACGATCAGTAACACAACATCACATTTCAAGTCAACAACTAGATGACTTATCAACGAAAATGTAAATTCAATAAAAACTAAAATAGGGTGAAAACTATAATAAATGATCGTGAAATAAGTTATAAAATCATAAATGCAAAATATACAAGGACGTAAGAGCACTAAGAGATATAGATGACTTGAGACAATAAGAAGTTCGAATCCCATCATCCCATGTTTAGGTTCAACGAAATGATGTTTTCACTGTATATTGTCTATTGAGTAATGGTACGATGAGTAATTGAAATATTTTTAGGCGGTTCAATAATAGGGACCAGCCCCATATATCTTAAAATGTCTAAATTATCCTTACAACCACAAACTTAATATTCATTGAAATTGGTTGGATACACATTATCCTTCCAGATCTGAAAAAGTGGAAGAATCCAGTTGCTCGGTCAAGCCACACGGAGCAAAGGTCACCGACGACGCTTAGGATCGACGCTCAACGTGCGAGTTCTGCTACCTCCGTCGCAACGCCGCCCAGCTCTCGGTCGCTCCGCCACCGCTTCGGCCGCAGCTCAAGGAAAGCCTAGGCCTTGATTAGAACCTCGATAATTCTGGGTTCAGTTCTTGAAGCTCAACCTCGAAGGTCCGCCATAAATGGCCACTCAAAGCTCAGGGAAGGACAGACTACCCCAAACCCATTGCCAGTGTCACAGCCAAAAGTCTTTGCCCTGTAGAGTACTTGTCTCCCAGCTACGCCGACTCCATGTCCTTCTTGAACATTTGATTCAACTTAAACTTATATGGTTGATTCTTCTTCTGTGCTTGTTTCCGTTGAGTCTCTTCAAGTTCCGCAGTTGATGTCTTCTGACGACCCTGAACGTGATGCGGAGTTTCAGCGTATTGATTTCAGTAGGTAGCTAGAGGGAAGATGACCTTGAAAAAGAGCAGAGGAATGGAATGGAGACTGAAGTCAGCACTAAGAAAGAAAGAGAGGAATGAAACTAAGGGTATACTTGGATTTATAAAAAAAAATGCGATTGTATTTATTAAAATGGTAGCTGTGAATAGAATTTCTCTTATAATTATTTACATCTTCACAATTTTTTTTTCTGAACTACATGAAATTAGTGGATACAGCCCAAAAAACTCAACCTAGTCACTCTTCATACAAAGCCTTAAGATTGGGATTCTTTCACATTTTTGTGCCTAGGGCTCCCGCCCCTGCTGCACCGCCTAGGACCGCCCCTGACCTCATGGCCAGGAAAATCACAGAACCTGCAAGTCACCTGCGTATTGGAGGGTCTAGCAGCATGATTCCCAGCATAAGTTTCATGTCCTCTGCGATGAGTCTGACTGCACCTGTCATTTGGATGATGCTGGCGACGCTCCCCAAGATGGGTAACGTTTGCTGTAGGGACGAGAGACTGGGCCATCTCAGTTGTTTCTTGAATCCGTTTCTCACGTTCAAGTAAAACCTGCTGCAGTTCAAGTGTTCAACCATGGGCAGTGCGGTTGTACGCACGCGAATTGCCGAGGTCAGATCACTGTAATCTGGACCAAGTCCATTGAGAATGCTAATCACGAGATCTTCATTGGAGATAGGGCTTTGAGCAAGAGCAACATCCTCAGCGATAGCATACATGACAGTGGGTAGTCAAGAATAGAAAGACTGCCCTTGGTGGTGCGAGCAAGTGTCGACTTTAGAGAGATGATTCGCCGGCGAGATGTATTGGCATAGGTAAGTGCCAATTTCTCCTAGGCACGATCGTGTCGGAGCATCTGCCAAGCAGGGCACTGATGATTGTACGATCCTTACGGTACCAAATGGTATAACACGGGTTGGGTCGAGATTTGGCAGCATCAAGGTGCTGATTTGGGGCAGTGATGGTGCCGTCAATATAGCCTTCAAGGTCAAGGCCGATAAGAGCTGAGTGGACTTGGCATTTTCAAACCATACAATCAGACTCATATTTGGGAAAATATGCATTATTTCAATTCTATTTAGGGCATTTTGTAAGAATTAAATTGGGAGATTTTCAATAGGAGTAAATGAAGTTTGAAATTCCAAAATATGACTACTTTGTTTTTATTCCCGAAATGGTACTAAGATGGCAGTATGTACTGTCATCTTGTAGTCGTGACTGTCAAATAGTTACAGTACAGTGCATTTAATATAACAGTATTTATTATAATTAATGACAGTATTTTTCATACATGACAGTAATACTCCTGTTTCGGGAAGAAAAACATGTTCGTTCTATTTTTGGAATTCCAAGTGTCATTTGCTCCTATTTTGGGTAATTTCCTAATTAAATTCTGTTGGTGAAAATATGCAAATTACTTCCATCGAGCTCTTAATCGTAATTCTTGAATAATAATAATTTCAAATAAAATTACTTTCATACCGATGCACACAATGAAGAAGACAATAACAGAGACAACAGCTGGGTGGGAAGTGAAGAAAAGCAGAGTAGGGTTAAGGACGATGACGACGATGTAAACAACTGCGGGCCTGCGGCGGCCAGGAGGAATTGTAGGGAGAGATGGAGGTAGACCTTGCGAATGAATTGCCATCCATGTCCGGCGTCTGCCGTGTCGCCGCCGTCCGCCTCCAAATCACTTGTCAATGCAATGGCTATATTGCCGGCCTCCATCTGTTTTATCATGTGCAGAGTATTTTATTAGCTTCTACCGTAATTAATCAAGCACCATTTCAGAGGGGTGTCTATTTAAAGTCCCCTTCCTCAAAATTACATCACATATGAAGTCACTTATGACGTGTAATTTTTCATCATAATCTTGGGCAAATTACCGAATTGGTAAAAAACAAAAAGCAGTCATTTACGGGATTGGTAAGAAAATCACTTAAGACAAATAGGTTGCTTTTTTGTGAGGACACACTTTTGATCATCAATTTAGAATTTTCTACATTTCATATCTTGAGTATTGTGAAATAGACATTTTCATTACTTTGAAAAGTTGAGAACTAAAAATGTGAATGATCGTGTTTGATAATAGGAGTTGTTTGCTAGCTAATAGCCGTTTGACAGGGTCGGTCCTGTACAGTTTTGGGCCTATGAACGATATATTATTTTGGCCTTATTTCCAAGATAAACAGAAAATTATACACACTTAAAGTAAAAATTACAAAATATAATAAAACTATGAGAAATTACTCTAAATAGGATTAAAAAGGTGTGTATATTCCAAACTAAGATTATCATGTTTTTATTATCTAAATAGAGGTAATTACTGTCATATTTTGACAGTATCATACTTTACACGTGCTAGTATTTTCCGAACATGACAGTAATAACTCCTGTTTAGAAAATAAACACATGATAGTTCTATTTGGAATTTTCAATCAAAAAATTACTCATATTTCATGAATTCTCCCTACAACTATCTAATAATGGTTATAAAATAAAGATGAAATTCACCTTCATAGTATTTGAAATACATATTTGGACAAAAGTAACAACACAAGTATCACAAAAAACATTGTGAAGTAAAATCATTAATAATTGTTTTATAATCAATCTTTTCCAAGATCACATGTGCAATGTTTAAAATTGCTAATCCATTAAGTTTTTTGAGACATAATAGATAATTGGGATGATGTTTGAGAATTGGGTGGCAGCCCAAAGACAATAATATAAATTGATAATTTTGCAATAAAAGGGAATAAAAAGCCTTAAGGGCTAAAATATGTGAAAAGACGTGCTTTTATTGATTCAAAACTAAATTTATATTCTTTTTAAAAACATGTCTAGCTCCATTCAAGACTTTTTACTTATGTTTTAAAATTTTCAAATTATCAACGAAAATTAAACATTAGGCCTAATTAGGATGTTTTTACTTGGACTGTAATTTGCTAGTCTGGTCTGGTCTAAACTAGTCCGGTCTGGTCTGGTTTCTTTGTATTTTATAACTATCCAAATCCGGTCTGAACTGGTCTGGTCTGAATGTCTGATCTGGTCTGGTCTGGGAGGAATTACAGTCCAAGTAAAGACATCCTTAATCAATTGAAATTATAAAAAAAAAGAAACCTACTCAGATTTCGTATAAAGAAAAAAACTTGGGCCTACTTTTCTTTCTACTTTTTTCAGACTTAGGGCAGTCGCCCCTGCTGCCCTCCCCCTGGGACTGGCCCTGTCGTTTCAATAAGCATAATTCAACCACTTACATTAGCGGTTTGAAATAAATTGTTAGTAACTTAGTTGTTTGTAATTGGTTTTTAAGACGTAAAATGACCATTAAGGATATGTGTTTAAAATTTATACAAGTATATGAAATAATTACATAAATATGATCAAAATAAAGATGATTTACAAAAATATGACTAATGACTAGAGTAGTAATGAAATCATAGTAATTCATGTTCAAGTTTTGAGCTTAAGTTACCACAACACCACATTGTAGTAATGAATAGTCATATTTATGTAAATATGTTTTATTTTAGTAATATTCTTGTAAAAAACCCTTTATATATTTAACTTAATTTTATCTTTTATTTTAAATAAGTCTTGGAAACTTTTAAAAAAAATAATTTACGTTTATTTTAAATAACTATTGTACATTAAAGTGAGCGCACACATATAAATTCATATCTTTTTTGTATTAATATTTTATTTATGACTATTTATTAGTTTTTTTAAGGGAAAATGGAAACTAATAATCCAACCTTTTAGCGGTCTTCTTACAATCACTACCAAAAAAACTCGTAATAGCCACGGATTTAGGCACGGAATATATCCTAGACAATTTTGGCTCGGATATTGGCCCGGAAAGCCAAAAATGTCGGTTTTTTACGCCTCTGGCACGGATAAATCCGTGCCACCTAGGTTGTCTCGGAATTTCCGAGCCTACTTCCATGCCAAGACCGAAAAAACTTCAAATCCGTTGGCTTGTGGACATATCCTTCGCAATTTCCGAGACAGTTTGGCAGGGAACTATGTCCGACCCAAATGGTGACGATTTTTCTTTTTAGGTTGGCACGGATCTATTCCGTGCCTACATCCGCGCCAACGCCGCATCAAATTCAGCTCGCCCCTTTCCGTCCTTATATCCGTGCCAAAATGTAGCCGTTACGTTTGGCTGGCGGATATCGGACCCAAATTCCGTGCCAAAATATAACCGTTAATTTGCCAATCCCACGTTCTGCCTTAATGTTTTTCCGTGCCAATATCCTAGACAATGAAGGCCGTTTGTACGTTTCGGTTGGGGTATTTCCGTCCCAAAATCCGTGCCTATTAATTCTACAAATACATGTATGGTGTGTGAGAGCATCTCCAATGCTACAATGTGTACGATGCACATGTGGCATGAGAGAGATAGACACAAATAATTAAATTTATGACATTTCTTTCTCCTTCTTTCCACGGTTTTGTGTGTTTTTGGTAAGTTTTTCTTAACATTGTCAACCACAATGTCTACATCTAGACATTATGTTTGATATTGTAGAGAAAAACTTACCAAAAACATATAAGACCGTTCAAATAAAGAGAGAGATATTCTATTCGGTATTTTTTAATTGGCTATCTCTCATGCCACATATGCATCGTTCACGTTTTTGCATTGGAGATGCTCTGAAACATACTACATCTCTCAAAATGATCTCTTTAATATTTGTGTATGATAATTTCTGGATAGAAGTTGGAAGTAATATTACTTGATATCCAGAGGTTTCTATTTGGATTTCTTACTCTATAGTCGTATTACTTGGTATCGTCGTTGTACTTAAGGTATGTAAATTTCGACCATTCTGTTTTTAAATTAATTTGATCATATTCATATTACGAGTTGTTATGAGTAGTATTTGTCTTAATTATATTGATACAATGTGAGACGTTAATTTGTAAATTTAATAAATTAATTTCGTTAAGATATACTGTCAAAAAAATCATTAAGATATTTTTTAAATATTCAGGCACAATGTATAGACAAACTAGAAGTGGGATGTATGACCGCTACAAGAAAAATGGTAGAGGATTGAAAAAAGAGTTCGAAAATGGAGTTAACGAATTTATTAGATTCGCACAAGGGCAAACACGCTTATATGGATGGAGGTAAAATAAGATGTCCTTGTACAGTGTGTAAAAATAACAAATTTGTTGAAGGTGGGGAGGTTTGTTGGCATTTATATACACATGGTTTTGTTGAAAACTATTACAACTGGACTTCTCAAGGAGAACCAATTGAGCCTGAGTTGTTGCCGCAAAACGTAGGAACATCGAGGTATGTTCCCGACGAGATGGCTAATTGGGGAAATTATGAAGAAATAGTATGGGAGCAAAAAATGCTTTATGATTTGGTTGGTCTTTCTACGTTTCCCAATATCCACACGGATAGTGAATTCAACGCACACAATAATGTGAACGAAGGACCAAGTTCATCATATTATGATGTGGATGTGTTAGGCACTAGATTTCAAGAAGTGCTCAAAAGTGCCGATCAGCCTTTATATTCTGATTGTTATGATCATTCCCAATTATCAGCAGTTTCTGAATTTCTTAACATAAAGTTAGAATATAACCTATCTGAGAGATGCATGTCCAAAATATTAGACTCAGTTGGTAGTATGTTACCTCGTGACCATTGTCTTCCCGATACTTACTACAACATGAAAAAGTTTGTTTCTGAGTTAGGTCTCCCTATGATAAAAATCCATGCATGCCCTGGAGGTTGTATGTTGTTCTGGAAGAACGACGAAACATTGAGCCGGTGTAAGTTTTGTAATGCGGATAGGTACAAGCCCATATCAGGTATGGGTCGAAAAGCACGAAAAAGATCTGCAGCATCTAAGTTTATATATCTTCCTTTAGCACCACGTTTGCAGAGATTATATGCCTCGAGCGCTACCGCTAAACACATGACGTGGCATGTAGAGCATGACACTGAAGAAGGGTTAATGTGTCATTCATCAGATTCCGCAGCGTGGAAGCATTTTGACAGGTGTTATCCTCAATTTGCTTTTGAGCCGCGCAACGTGAGACTTGGGTTATGTTCTGATGGTTTTGCTCCGTGCGGTCAATTTGGAGGCCAGTTCTCATGTTGGCCAATTATCATTACACCATATAACTTCCCCCGGACATGTGTATGAAAAATCATTTTATGTTTTTATCATTGATGTGTCCAGGTCCTGGTAATCCAAATAAAAAGAATTGATGTGTATTTGCAGCCAATGATCGAAGAGCTGAAACATTTGTGGGAAGTTGGTGTTCCTACATATGATGTTTCGAGGGATCAAATATTTAATATGAAAGCTGCGATTATGTGGACCATTAGTGATTTTCCAGCATACGGAATGCTCTCTGGATGGAGTACTGCAGGGCTTATGGGTTGCCCCGTTTGTATGGAAAAATCAAATGCATTTTGGCTAAAGAATAGTCGAAAAGCATCCTACTTTGATTGTCACAGGAAATTTCTCCCACCTAATCATCCGTATCGAAAGGATAAGAAGTCATTCATCAAGGGTCGCAAGGACCGCGATCCTCCACCTCCGATTTTAACAGGATATCAGATTTATGATCGTGTTCGAAACATCCCTTCTGCCATTGACGAACCTCTTAAGTATCCAGATGGATATCGCATTTATCATAAGTGGACAAAGAAAAGCATTTTCTGGAATTTGCCATATTGGAAGGATCTTTTGATTAGGCATAATTTGGATGTAATGCATATTGAGAAAAATGTTTTCGATAACATTTTTAACACGGTTATGAACTTCAAGAGAAAGACTAAGGATGGCCTTTCATCAAGGAAAGATGTAGCTCTGTTTTGTGATAGACCGGAAATTGCTATGGGCCCTGAGTATGTTGGTCCATTCAAGAAAGCAGTTTATCAGCTCACGGACGAGCAGAAGAAATGCATATTGGAGTGGCTCATCATGCTACGATTCCCTGATGGATACACTTCTAACTTTAATAGATGTGTTGACTTAGAAAATTTGGTAATGAAGAACATGAAGAGTCACGACTGCCATGTGATGATGCAACGCCTCCTTCCAATTGCATTGAAGGAAAATCTCCCGAATAATGTGTGGGCATCTATTTGTGATGTTTCTCAATTATTTTAGTTGTTATTCTCACCGGTGCTAGACATACAAGCAATTCAGGAGCTGCACCGTAACGTTCCCACTATTTTGTGTAATTTGGAAAAGATCTTTCCTCCATCCTTTTTCGATGGAATGAAGCCATATTTATAGTAGAGCTGAACAATTGGCAAGGACTTGGCTGGAATAATTCTGTCTCAAAACATTATATCCGCTAAAATGTATGCAATTGGCACGGACTTGGCTGGAATAAATCCGTCTCAGAACATTATATCCGCTGAAATGTATGCAATTGGCAGGGAATAATCCCTGCCAAATCCGAGCCAATCCTGGTCTGACATAATAATTACTGACTGCACAGAGTTTCAGACGACTTTTCAGTTTGGCACGGATTTTTGAAAATTTAAACCGCTCGTTTTTTTTCGCGCAATTGGGACGGATTTGTCCGCGCCAACTCGCAGCCAAGAGCGAACACTAATCCGGAAGGGTCTAGAACGGTTTTGGCAGTGCTCTTGCGACGGATATTTCCGAGCCAACGCCGGAAGTATATAAACTGTCCTTAATGCATTTCGTTCAAACCGCAGCTCATTCAATTCGTACAAACCCTAGCACCGCTCTGTACATACTCCCCCATACCCAACCACCGCCTACTCCTCCGGCTACCCCTCCGGCTACCCTCCGGCTACCCCTCCGGCTTCCTACTCCGGTGACTACGTACTCTGCCTCCCTTCTGTTTCAAGCTGCCTCCGAAGGTTGCCGTGTTTCGAGCCACTGAATGGTTGAGCAAAAATATTGGCAGAGCTAGGCGGGAGAACAAGAAGCCGGACTGGATTGGAGATGGAGATTGGAAGTTGTTGCAAGAATATTGGGCCTCTGATGCTTTTAAGAAAAAGAGCCAAGTTGAAAAGAAGAACAGGAACTCTAAAGCTAGGAAATAAAGTATCCACAATGAACTGCTGACCTAGTGGTCCGGTCAACGACCCGATGGTCCATATCTGGTCCGGTCAATGACATGGTGGTTAGGTCCGGTCATTGACCCAGATGTCCATATCTGGTCCGATCGATGACCCAACGGTCCCGATCCAGTCGACGACGCGACGGTCCTTTTCCGATCCAATCCACGACTAGTGGTCCTTGTCCGGTCTGGTCCACGACCCAACAGCCCCTGTCCGTTTCGTTCCATGACCCGGCGGTCCATGTCCAGTCAGGTCCACGACCAAGCGGTATCTGGTCGATCTGATTGATGATCGGGCAGTCTCGGTTCGATCTGGTCTAGTCTGCAACTCGAAGGTCCCCGTCAGGTCAGGTCAATGACCTGACAGTCTCCGTCCTGTCCGGTCAACCACCCGGCAGTCCTCGTCATGTCCAGTCAACCACCGGGCGGTCCCCATCTTGTCTGGAAAATGTTCCGACGGTCTATGTTTGGACCGATCGACAACCGGGCGGTCCCGAGCCAGTCCCATAAATGACTCGACGGTCCCTGTTCGGGCCAGTCAATGACCTGACGGTTCAATATCGTTTTTTAGAAACCATTTTTTAAAGTGAAGAGTTTTAAAAGAGCCATTGAGTTGTCAATCAATAGGAAAATGGGAAAAGAAATCATCAAATTAATTGTTGAGATCGACCGTGTCTGGCCCGTTTCGCTCCCGACTTTCCTATATGTGGGACCTAGTACCCTACTTGGGTTGTACTAGGTTCGGTTCCGGAGTGGGACCGTACTTTCGGGCTTTTGGTTGATCACAGAACCGGATGAAAAATTTGTATGAGCATGTTTTCAAATTTGAAAATTGAAAATAAAAAATGAAAACAAAAAACTTGGAGATACAAAAACTAGAAAATGAAAACAGAAAATTGGAGAATGGAAAACAGAAGTAGAGAACCGGAAAATATATATGTTAGTAAACAGACCCTTAGAATTGAGAATCTTAATTTACTAATAATTTATATTACAATAAATAATACTATTTATGAATTCTATAATTTATTATTCGTTAGGTTTCCTATGTCTATATTACAATTTGTCACTAGGTGGTGTGTGTTCCGCACGAGCAAACGATGAAAGTAATAGGCAAAAACTTTCTCGTATATAATTCGATCCAAATGATACTGTGGCTGATTTAGGGTCATGGAAACCCTTCAATGACTAAGATTCTTCCGTTTGAGACCAAGATCAAAGAGAGTGCTTAACTAGACGTCCTTGTAGGCAAATTGGTCACATTTACCCTCGAAAACTGTACGGAAACTTATCAAGACCGATTTGCGTAGTAGAATGGGAGAAGAATGGATGAATGATAGTTTGGGAAAAAATTACCTTTTCGGTCAACCACGAAAAGGTAATTTTTTGCAAAAATTGAAAATAAAGCAATTTTGCAACGTTTTCAACACATGCAAACACGCGGGACACAATTGTCTCCGGTTATAAGACTTTTGGTATCATGTATTTTTCATACTCTTTTACAATTCCAGTATTTTGAACTTGAAGAATTTCTTAGTAATTGCTCAAATATTGTTGTGTTCCGCCCCTGGCCGAGATGCAATGATAATAAAACTGAAATTCAATTTCACATTCTCTGTCAACACATACATTTATCAAACAACTATAATCAAAACTAAGCAAATGAGGCCTAGCAAATTTTAATGAGCCAAAACAAACTACAAAATTTCACCAAAAATTTGATTTCAAGACGAATTTCTCTCAACAAACTGCGACAAAAATCGTTCTTTGCCAAGGGCAACTTTTTTTCAAGGTTAACTTTCTCTTCGGCTTCAGCTGGACTTCTTTAGTCTCTACCTAGCTTCTTTCATTCTATATTTCGGATATACTACCTCCGTAACATAAAGATCTTCTCATTTTGATTTTTCATGGTCTTATAAGTTGAATTTTGACTCTAAATATCTACATATCTATATTTATAAAATTCATAATAAATTAACATTCAAATAATATGTTTTACAATGGGGTATATGAAATAAATTTTTAATCATAACATAATGTGAGTTTTGAATAATTAATGATCAAAGTTTATAAAATTTGACTCAAAAGAATCAAATTAGGAAAATTCTAGAGTTGAGATAGTAAATCAATTCCAGGAGTGGCGTAGCTTCTCGGACACGGCTTCTCAGTCTTCGATCACTGAAATTTCTTTCTGCAGACTGCAGGTCTCTGATTTGAAGAAAAGGTAGAAGCGTAGAAGAGTGAAAAACTAAGATATATGGGGCAAGCCTTTCGAAAACTCTTCGATGTGTTCTTCGGCAACTCTGAGATGAGGGTAATATGCACATGTAGATAGCGATACTCTTAACTTCTTCCTCTTTTCTCTGCATCTTCATTAATTTTAGTGGGGTTTCCTTCTCGTAGTCTCGACTTGTTTATCACTCCCTGTGCAGCTGTGCTATGCTCCATAGACTGATTGACAATTCAATTGTTGACTTTGTTATTTTTCTTAATCTAGATCTGCCTCTCATTTTTTTGATTTTACGTAGCTGTTTAATGACTTCTGATTGGGAGATGAGTGCTTTTATTTTTGTGTAAGCAAATTTTCATTATATTTAGCTTAAACAAGGAAGTATGCTCTCTCTTGCATCTGATTTTTTGAATTCTATGTTGGAAATATATAGCGGAAGCAATACAAGAACAAATAGAATAAATTGTTCTAATAATTTCAGGACCTTCATCATGTTGAATAATAGAGTATAATAATAATACTGCGTCTGGCTCTTCCTCAATTGAACCGTCTCGAGGCCTTAGTCTCTCTTCTGATGGGGAGAAGAGAGAGTGAATTTGGTGGTTCAATATATTGGGGACCATAGCCTTTATAGAGTGTGTTGGTCTAGTTAGGGCTCACATTAAACCCTAACAAGTAACATGGGCCTCTGCCCATTTATTTGGCCCATAAAATTTATCTTAATAGTCTATTGGGCTTAGATAATATTGACCACATAAAAAAAACCAATTATGATAAATAGCTAATGCAATAATTATAATATTAGCCCATATTAATTATTGGAATAAAATATTCCAACACTCTGAAGTTGTCAAAATAAGTGCATACCCCTTATAATACAGAGCAAAAAGGTTTTTTGTTCAATATTGTATTCTAAGAAATTTAGAAAGTCCTTGTTTCTATGCACCATTAAAAAGGGGGGGGGGGGGGGGGGGTTGGTTGGTTAGTTTGTTTAAAAAATAAACAAAGATTTTTAGCATGCCATATATTCATGATGCTAACGTTGCTGATTTTAGGATCCTTGACTGTGCTGTGTTTGTAGATCAATGGTTGTTTGATGGGATGCGACTGTGAGAGCACTATAGCTAACTTACTCACAGTTGTTCCATCTCCATTGTGAGTTTCTGAATATTTTACGGGTACAGGTTGTGATGCTTGGGCTTGATGCAGCTGGAAAAACTACAATATTATATAAACTGCACATAGGAGAAGTTCTATCAACAGTTCCTACCATTGGTAAGTTTCTAGCTTCGTGAAATATAGAGCTCTGTCAAGGTGGAAAAGTTGTGTTCTGGAAAGATTGAATTTATTCAGTGACTATAAGGAAGTGCAAATATTGTATACCTACAAAAAAGATTATTGTGGGTGGTTGATAGTGATTGAGTCTTCCTTTGCTGTATTTTCTTGTATGATTAGTTGTCTAGTCCGTATATATTGACCCTCAGGACCTTTTATTGAAACTGGACCATATCATTTAAGATCTTTGCAAATTCAGATCTAAAGTCCATTTAAAAATGCTTCTTTCAGCATCTTCATTACCATATCTTTCGAAATCCTCATTACACTCAAACTGGATAGAGGATTGGTCACAATATCAATTGAGCCTTCATTCCTTCCAAATCCAACCTCAATTCCACTTTGTTTCAGGCTATATTAATTTCTAATTTTTTATTACTATTTACGGCTATGGCTTTGCCCCAATTCATGTTAGACAGAAACTCATCTCTAAGGATTCTTTTACTCTCTGAACATCTAAGAATTCTAGGATACTGGTCTCTTTTTCAGTTGTGATTAATTCACCATATGTTATTAAATCATCATCTTTCTTTCGCTAGAAAAGTCTGTTCCTCTTCAGTTGACATACCTTTTTCTAGTTACTCAACAGATGTTAAATTTCTAGTCATTTTTCCATGAGGTCTTACTTAAGCTACTCAGCGGATGTTAAATTTGTAGTCATTATTCCATTAGTTACGTGAGCTTCAAACTGAACAAGCATTTGTTCTTCATCTATAAACTTCTCAAGAGCTCCACCATCATTGGACCTCTCGGTACATAACCTATCTCACTTTGCTTTTCTCCTGCATTACTCTGAGTGGCTTATTTTGTTGGTCCATCCATATAAAACTTGCTCTTGGTTGCTGCTTCCTTTTTTGCCTTCAATTCTTGATCACTTCCTTCAAAACCTAAAGGCGCATCTCCAACTTCCATTGATTTGGCTTTTTTCTTACTCATATGGAATATGTATTTCCACACATGAGGTGAGCATGTAATTAAGTGACATGTAATCACATGGCTATTATATTCTGCTGGCACACAGGTTTCAATGTGGAAAAGGTGCAGTATAAGAATGTTATTTTCACTGTGTGGGATGTTGGTGGACAAGAGAAATTAAGGCCTCTGTGGAGGCATTACTTTAACAATACCGATGGACTGGTAATTGTGTTTGATATTTTCAGAAAATCATTGAATCAAGTTATGGACTGGTAATTGTGTTTTATTGCCTTAATCTAAATGTGTTATACACATTTAGATTAACATCATCCTTAACTGTTCTAACTTCTAAGGATATTTTTCTGCGCATGTAGATTTATGTTGTGGATTCATTAGATCGAGAGAGAATTGGGAACGCAAAGCAAGAATTTCAGGTCATCTTTGATAAACTTATGGCTTATACTTATTACTTTGAGTGATACAAGATGTTCACCCAATGTTTTTTACCATATCATCTGTACTGGTTTTGTATGCAGACCATCATAGGCGATCCATTTATGCTTAATGCAATTATCTTGATTTTTGCTAACAAACAAGATCTGGTATGTCACTTACACATGCTTAAGTGTTACAGTCATCCTCAATTAAAATATGTAGTATATATTTATCTAGTATATTAAAATATGGGGTCCGACCGCAGCTCACCCCATATTTGGTAAAAACATTTAAATTTTGTATAAAAAATTGATGAAAAAGTTATACGATTGCATGAAAGATTTTTTTATGGATATTTGAAAGATTTTTCTTTGCCGATCTACCAATAAAATCTATTCTGGAAATCCTTGTGAATAACAAATACCTACATGGAACTCTAATTGACTATACTTGTGATTTGGTCAGAAAGGAGCGATGACAACAACAGAAGTTTGTGAAGGGCTTGGTCTCCGTGATCTTAGAAACAGGAAATGGCACATACAAGGGACATGTGCTCTTAAAGGGGAAGGGCTGTATGAGGGATTGGACTGGTTATCAAGTACCCTCAAGGAGCATAGAGCTGCTGGATTCTCTTCAATAGGAACTCCTACATTCTGATTAGTCAAAGTAAATTTGGCAACCTTGGTTAGGGCTGGGCATGGATTGTGTGTAACCCATTTTTTTTCAGTCCCTAACAAAACACTAGAGTCCTAGATCAAACCAAATCAGACCACAACACACTTTATCAGAGTTCACCAAACTTAAACAGACTAGACTACAATTAAACGGGCTAGACTAAACATATATAAGCCAGACCAGACCAGGTCACTTTGCCATACTAAAAAATTCCAGCCCAATCAAACAGAGCCTTAATCCAAAGATTTATCATTTTATAATTTTGTTGTTTGTATATCAGTTAGACAATTATGCAATTTTGTTATTAGTAGGGAAGTTTCTCAAAACAATAGTAAAAACAAATTGGTTTTCCTAAACAGGAGTACTATGTTTCTTCCTGAAATAGGTGTGCAGTACTATCATGTCTTTTCCCTAATAGGTGTAAAGTACTTTCATGTTGATAGCATACTGCCATATGACATTACCAGGCATTAACATGAGTATTTTTCAGGAATAGTAATTACTCCTATTTAGGGGGGGACATAGCCCTAGTTAGGGAAACCACATTGTTTTTACTCCAATAGGGCAATTTTTTTTATTAATATTCAATTCAAATTATTTTGTTTTATAATGGAACTATGTTTTTCCATCATTTGCACTGGAACCAAAGATTCAATATTTTTTGGCTTGGGAATATGATGGAATAAACCAAAATGACTTACTAAACTGTCTGCGCTTCTTTGTTATGAAGTAGCGGTCAGTCCATGCAATTTTTTATGCGATTTTCAAAATGGGTCATCCGGAAACGGTGTCTATGCCTTAGTTAGGGTAAGGTTGCGTACATCCGACCCCCCTTACCTCACCGTTGATGGGAGCCTTTGTGCACTGGGGTAATGATGAATGAATGGAACTATGTAATGAGTTTTGGGTTTGGCCGACTCGATTCCAAAAACCCAACTCGGGTAACCCAAGAAACCCCAACCCCCTGGATAACCAAACTCGATATAGACCCAAAATTTTTGTGTTGATTTTGGACCCTAAATTTCTACTTTTTCCCAGTTCTACTTAGGGGCTCGGGTTGAATTTGACCCTAACCCTTGCTCTTGCCCTTGCCCTTGCCTACCGTGGTAGGGTTTTGTTAATTCATTCCTTTAATTCCCTAACTATGTATGCCATTTATCCCTTCACAGGTATTCTTGACTAGTCCAATGTAAAAGGGTAAAAAATGCTGACTGCGCATTCCATATAGACAGTAGATTATTATGTATATATCATATACTCCGTACTTCTCATTGTTGCTGGAGAGAAAAGCCGCTACATTAAGATCAGTATAATTAACACCCATGATTCTAGCCGTATCTTGCACGCTATCATCGACTCAGGTGTTACGGTGTATATCAGCATAACATGACATATGAAGCGTCGCGGTCGGCATTTGTTAGACAAAAGTCTGTATTCCACCATTCTGTAGTCTATGCTACCTTTTTCTGTATAGATTTTATACAAACTGTCACGGTGTGATTTTTTCCCTCTACTCTGGAAAAGAGGTTTGCACCCCGATTACGCCATATGAATAGATGGGAAGAGATGGAAAGGTAGGTCCCCTTTTTACAGTATAAATTATGAAGGTGATCAACTTTGAAAGAACTAGTCACATAAAACTAGATCAATGATCTGTGACGGATCAGAAAAGTGTAGGACGAAAGTTTTTTATGGCAGTGATCTTTTATGAACAGAAAAGTTTTTTACTGAATCTTGATATACCATGTAGAAGTTGTGTATAAAAATGAACAATTTGTATTGGTTGTATTGATAATAAACTGAATACGTAGCGAGATTGTATAGGACACATGAATCTATACAAAGAAAGGTGGATTACAATGCGTCTATACGGTACACTGTCCAAGTATACAAGTATGTGGTATACCGTATACTATCGGCTATCCTAGTATGCCACTTTCATTGATCCACACTTAATGCTATTTACAACCCTAAAACAATCAAATGAATTATCAAAAAGAAGTACCACTTAGTCACTTACTATGTACTACCTCCGTCCCATAAAATTCTTCCCACTTTGATTTGGTACGGAGATTGTGGTTGTGTACGAAAAAGGTGAAATGAATGTGAACCACACAAATTGTCCAAAAATGGTAAGTGGGAAGAATTTTTTGGGACGACCCAAAAAAGAAAGTGGGAAGAATTTTATGGGACGGAGGTAATATAACTCTAAACTGAAATCGACATCGGTCTGTTCACTCTGTTGTATTATATGGTTCCATGATTCTTAACCAAAACCGATGCCGACATAAAATACTTAATGCATATCGGGTTCAATCGTCGTGGCTCATGTCAAATGGGAATTAGGGAAAATAATTTAATGGGGCATGAGACATGATAAAAAATTATACGTAGTATATTCCAAACTTTGGATAAAAAATTATTTTTGTACCATGAATATATGTTTTTGGAAAAATTGATCGTAATAATCCTAATTATTGGCGATCCGTTCATAATAATCCCAAATATCGATTATTTCAGAATAATCCCAACTTTAAGGCCCTTCCGCCAATAATGGTATGAGGTGACTGACTATAAACAAATTCCTATAATTTCTAAAGAGATATATAGCAGGTAATCTCCATAAATAATCCTGAATTTTAATTTTTACACTTAATTTCTTTTAAAAATTCACTTTTTAGAGCAGGTAATATGCAGTCATGGACCATTATTGGCAGACGGTCCATTAGTCCATATAGTTGGGATTATTATTAGCGAACCGGCAGTTCGAATTATTATTTTCAATTTTTTCTATATTTTTTACAAATACAGATTTATTGAAAAAAGAACGTAATTTAAAACACTCAAAGCCTTGTTAGAATACAATTAACATTATAAAATTTCATTTGTGAAATAAATAATATTACACTCATATAGGTATGGACTCGGGCCGGGTGGCCCGACCCGGAACCGGCCGGGACCGGTACTGTTCCGGCCCGGTCAGTGACCGGTACTGTTCCGGCCCGTGGGTTTTCCGGTCCGGGCTCGGGTCACCCAAAACAAGGCCCGACCCGGCCGGGCCCGGGCCCGGTTCGGGCCAAAAACATTTTTTTTTTTTGTTTTTGCAATTTTTTTAAAGTTTTGGGTTGGGCTGGGTATTTTGGGCCATTTGGGGTGGTTTGGGGGTTGGGGATGGGAGGGGGGTTACTTAGGAAGAGGAAAACAAAAAAAAAATTATAATGGGCCCGGCCCGGCCCGGCCCGGCCCGGACCCAGTGGTTACCCGGGCCGGTCCCGGGTCCACCATTTCTGACCCGCCGGCCCGCCCGGGCCTAGGCCCGACCCGGACCCGGACCCGGCCCGGACCCGAGTCCAACACTACACTCATACTACCTCTGTCCCAAATTTACTTAGCCATCTTTGACTTTTTCAGTCAAAGGTGGTAAACTTTGACCAATTATTGAAACTAATATATTTATGCAAAATTTAATAATTTTATACTTTTATGATAGTATTTTTAACAAAGAACATTTTCATATCATTTTCATATTATTAATATTTTCTCAATATAAACATATAATCGATCAAAGTTAGACGCCATTGACTTGAAAAGTCAAGTTTCGCTAACTAAAATGAGGAGGGATACTAGTCATACTACTTAATTTTAATTGCATCCTCATAAATGTTTTGTGTGTTTTAAATTATGCACTCGTACTTGACATTAGAAATACATAATTATGGTGATATCATAACTTTTTATATTAAGTTTAGGATATATGTATGTGTGTTACATGTGTAAGTTTGAGATATATTTATCTCACGCCCTTTTAAAGTTTTGGATATTTAAATTATTTTTCCAAATGGGAATCATATCAACTAACTTATTTGAACTTTGAAGGCGGTTTGGGTTCGTGTTACTTAAGTTTAACACTTTAATTCTTGACTTCCAAGACTTACCCAAGAACCAAATAATGTATCCCACTTATGGGTGGATTCGGTTCGGGCCACCCGGCCCGTGACCCGGCCCGGCCCGGTACTGTGCGGGCCCGGGACCGGCCCGGTCGGGCGGTCCGGGACTGGGTGTGGACCCGAACCGGTGGGAATGGGCGGGGCGGGCACGGTTCCGGATAAATGTGACCCGGCCCGGCCGGGTCGAGCCCGGGCTCGGGTCCGGTCTGATTTAAAAATAAATAAATTGGGCTACTAGCCATTGGGGGTGGGTGGGGACAACTCAAACGGCTATATAGCCGTTGGGTGGGGTGCAGGGGGGGTCCGGGGGGGTTGGGTGGTGGGGGGTGGTGGGGGGGTAAAAAAACCTATAAATACTCCTAATCTTACACATTTTTTCATCTCTTCTCCAATTCTTCCTAAATCCTATTCTTAACTCTCTACTCTCTAATTCTCTTATTCTCCAATATATTATATTTATTATTTATATATCTACTTTATAGTTTATACTTAAGAAGTTAAGATGGAAAATCAAGATGCCATTATACGGTATAATTTTGATAAGCAGAAGGACCCGAAGACCGGGATGTGGTACGCAATTTGCAAATGGTGCGAGAAAAAATGTAGCATGGGGGTTTCAAGCATATACGGGATGGCAATCAAGCATATGAAGTCATGTGACAAAGCTAAAGGATCGGGAGGTGCGGGAAGTTCAGATTGATTACAATTTTCAAAATGTTTCTCTTAAAGTTTGTTTTAATTTTTAAATGTAGTTCCTATTTCATTTCAAATAAATGCACTTGAAGTTTGTTTTTAGTACTCGTATAAAACTATAAACTATAAAATATAAATTATAAAAAAAATTAACCGGCCCGGCCCGAACCGGACCCGACCCGTGACCCGGGCGGGTGGCCAGGCCCGAACCGGATCCGTCCAACCCTCGGGTCGGTCCCGGGCCCATGTCATACAAACCGGCGGCCTGACCGGGCCTAGGCCCGGCCCGGGCCCTACCCGGCCCGAGTCCATCAATAATCCCACTTAAGATCACGATTCCACTCACCCCATGATCATGAACCAATCTGTTCGAAAATGGACATAGTTTACATTTAGCTATAACCCTGAATCAATCCGTTTGAAACTGGACCTGGTTCACCTCTAGCTATAGCTGGCATGACACTATGACAGTGGTTGTTTAGGTTTTCTTCTTTATAACTTATAAGCAATAGAATTCACAATCCCATTGTGAATCTCTTCAGTCTTGAATAGTTGAGTACTTGAGTTGGGTCGGCCACTCTTCATTCATAAATGGTGTTTGTGGTATAATCAAATCAGCAACTCTTCAGGTTTGTATTTCGTATGGACTAAAAGCACTTGTAGGTATATTTACATAAATACTATCGAGGTTCTTACATTTTGCACGAATACTATATGAAGACAAGGTAGTGAGGACTTTTTTGGCTACTTAACCTGAGTTTCGGCAACTTTTTTCAAGATCACAGCAGCATAATTACCGATTGTTCGTTCTGGAGACTGCTGAAGCTGCCTGATTACCGGAAATAGCTCTGATGAGCGGAGAAATTGCCGACAAGGCAGATGAGCACACATCTTTGCCAGTGAAAAAAGAGCAATTTTTAGCGGTGACTCGTGTAATGAATCCTTCCTGGTTGGGTTTAGAGCTAGGACTGAATAATCAGCTACCAACTTTAGTAGAGCCTAAAAACCCAAAAAGTGTGATTTCAGAGAGAATTCTAAAGAAGAAAAATGGCCCTTTCACCTTCATTTTTAAACTATATTTTCCCTCGTTCATTTGAAAAACGTGTTACGTAGTACATTGTTACATAATTCAAAACATTCACAGAATTCAGTCATCCGGTCTCTATTTTAGCAAGTTCAGTTCATCTCAATTCGTCCAGCCACTTCGTCCAAATGTTACTGTTACCAAACGGGCTCCTCTTACTATTAAAATATACTACCTCCATTCTTAAATAGTTGCAACATTATTAATTTTACACTATTCACGTCCTCTATTTTAACTAAATAATTTAGAAATCCATTAAAAATTTAAATTTAAAAAAATATGACTAAATTATTCTCACTTTAAATTTTCAAAATGTGATTTTTTTTTATATTTTTACAATTAGGGAATTAATTATATTAATAGTCAAAGTTATGCATTGGCAAACGTGAAAATGGAAGTGTTGCAACTAATAAAGAACGGAGGAAGTAATACTGAACGGAAGCGGGTGTTTTATGTGTTCATATTCACCTGGATGGCTCCTTTAGAAATAATGTCTTCGCAAAGCTTGTTTGAGTTGCGGACAAGATTACTGAGTGCCCCAGCAGCATTAGCTTTGGTTTTATCCTCCACAGCAGACAGGAGCAAATATGAAAGCTGGGGAATGGCTCGTTTGAGCTCATCGTACAATAAGTCACTGTGATAAGCAGCATTGCCAATCTAAATGAGGGGGGATGCTAATTTATTAGTAATGTCCTGTGAATTAAGAAATATTGACAATCTGGTAAAAAGTAAAAACAATAAGAACTCACAGCAAAGCAAGCAAATTTCTGAGTTCTTTTGTCTGAATCATAGCTTCTATCAATGAGGAGACTACTGATTTGATGTTGTCCCTGCCACAGTGAACAACTCATCATGTTTGACACACAAATGGCATAAGATGACCTTTTTTGTTTGAAGACTTTTTAAGGGAGAAAGAATACAACTAATACACATTGATTGGTTTCATACCAGTACATCATAAAAATATGAGCTATGACGACACATGTTCCCTATTGCACTGCATGCCTTTGCACGGATATTGGGATCTTCGTGGGTCAAGAAATCCTTCAAGAA